GGTCCTGGGCCAGGGGAGGAGCCTGCAACTGAAGTTGATGCCCTTGACTGGAATCTGAGGCTCTATCCACTGAGCCAAACTGGCTAGGGCAACACATGAATATCTTGCGGGAGTGGGGGGGTATATAGACAAATGGTGAAGAGTTCGGAGTAAAATTAGTAGTAGATACATCAAAAATTAAGAATAAAACAGACAAGTATAACTCCCAGAAAAATAAAAAGTCTTGCAGAACAAGAAAAATAATCATAATTGATTACCTCATTTAGCTGAGAATTACACTTACATGTCATAATTATGATCCAACCAAAATTACAATATTGAAAAAAGAGATGGAGAGAGTGCACATACGTGGTAGGAGCATGGGAAAAAGAGAATTAAATCTTTATTTTTATAACATAAAATACTAGATAATTCCTCAAATAAAAATACCAAAAAGCATCCGTTCAGTGAAATAATTTGGAAACATAAAATAGATGCCAAAATAATCAGACACTAGTGAGACTAGTTGCCTGTGTGAAGAGAATAGTGAGGGGCAGGGGACTGCTCCCCTGTTGCATTAGCCCTTGCAGAATTCTGTGACTCTTCAAACAATGCACATCAATGCACAAACAAAGCAAGTACATGATAAAACTCAAATATTTTAAAATTAAAAACAGAGAACTTAGGAATTGAAGGAGAAAAAAACAGAAGGAAGAAGATCAGAGCAAGCATAACGTATTCGCTTTTTGCTTTTAGCTTGTAAATTATGGAGCCACCTTCTATCCCTTATTCCCATGGCTTTTTACAGTTCGTTTCCCATTCCAAGTCAAGCACTGAGGAAGACAGACTATTTAGCTGTTCTTTAACTTCTGGCCAGAATATTGGCAAGTGGACTTCATTACTCCATTATGCATAGCCATGGAGGCTACGGAGAGAATGGATGCACCAAATATTCACATAATCCCCAAGGGTTATATTAGTCAATATTTTAAAACAACTCTTTTGCTTATTCTTGTTTCAGAGGTATATAAGGTGTGACTTTTTAAACTAAAAATTTTTTTTGGAAGCTTAAATCCTGGATTTCCCTGGTAGATTCTGTACTGGAAACAGGCAATTGTTTATCTTTTAAGAAGGTTCCCATGGATTTGAATTCTCACTTCCCTCCCTTCACAGAACGATGTCTGTCAGGGATAACAACATGTTGGGCAGGATGTGGGTGGGCGAGGCGAGGGGCAGCAATAGAAGCTCCTCAGTGAAACCTGACTCCTGTTTCATCCAGCACCGCAAGTCCTCTTTTAGTCCACACAGGACAATGACAAAGAGAAAATAAGATAAATGTCTAAAAAAATTCCTTGGAAGAGACACGATAACCCTTCTGTAACACTGGTGATGGAGCACAAGAACAATACCTTTTAGTTAACCAGGTTCTTACAATACTCTTATGAAGTATCATGTCAAGGACCAAACTGATATGTTCAGAAGTATATTGTATTTCATTCTCTTCCTCTAGCACTTCCACCCAAGATCTCACAGTAGGTACTTTCATATCTCTTATCTCACATGCCCTCTCCACTTTTATTTTTAAATATATTTTTATTGATTTCAGAGAGGAAGGGAGAGGAGAAAGATAGGAACATCAATGATGAGGGAGAATCATTGATTGGCTGCCTCCTATACACCCCCTACTGGGGATCAAGCCCGCAACCTGGGCATGTGCCCTTGACCAGAATGGAACCCGGGAACCTTTAGTCCGCAGGCTAGCGCTCTATCCGCTGAGCCAAACCAGCTAGGGCTCCCCTCTCTGCTCTTTATTGATTTATAAGGCACTCTCCTTATTTTTCAGATGCCAAGTAAGAGACGTAATTCAATCATTAGCAAAAGTAAGATTAGAATTTAAGTCTCTAAGCCAAGCCATCTAGCCAGTGGCTATGATGCCAAATCCAATTGTGGCTATACAATATTATAAAGAGGGTAATAAAAAAAAAGCCTCCCAGAATTATTATAAATACAACCATAGAAGAAAGGCTATCTGGTATGTACACTGGGAGTTCTAAGAGAGAATAGACGTCTGTAATCGTGTCAACAATGAAAATAAAGTTTTAAAAAAAAAAAAAACTTTGATCTCTTGGTTTCTAATGAAAATAACCTTTATTTTTAAAAACACAAAAAATAGAATGGAGAGAATACGATTGGAGAGAAAACATGAGAATCATTTCAGATTTTCATCTCACTCCTAAATATTTATTAAAGGTCACTTCTCTGACCTCTGCATGTATTAATTCTATATAACTCACCAAACTAGTAGGTTGTATGACATTGGGCAAGTCAACAGCTCAGCCCTTGGTTGCCTCATCTGCAATTAAAGGAGATTAGGTCAGCGTTTTTAGAATAAAAATATCAAGATTTGAAGTAGCTTAGAGATCATCTAGCTCATCCTATTGATTATATGAACCTCTCTGAAACAGTACAAGTGGTTATTCAACGTTGACTTGAGTGAAAACAGGACTTACGTACTCAGTACCTCCTAGGAAAGCCAATATAAGTTTCAGGTTATTCTAAATCAGAAGTTTTTTCATAAACTGATCTAAGATTTTACCAGATAATTTCCAGCTAAATCTTTTTAAATTTTACATTTAAAATTGCTATGCAAAATCCTCTTCTCCACATAATACAATGACAATAGCCCCACTGTCACTTTTATTAAAATATGAATTAGTTATAAGGTGTGATCATGAAAATTGGCCATTAGTCTTAATTCTGCCCCTGTCTATTTGACCTTGGCAAGATATTCATTATATATGAATCTTAATTTCTTTGCTTATAACATGAAGGGCTTAGAGTTTGTCAAATGTTTCTTTTAACATTAATGATTCTTTCCTGACTATACCTTTGTCCTGAACTCAGTGGAACATCACTTTGTTTTATTTTTAAGAATGAGATTTTTTAGATTTCTTTAATGAAGAACATACTTTTCTTCCTTTTTTGTGTGTCTCTTGACTTTTCTAAATGTTCTGGATGTAGATATTTACATTAGAGTGTCTGACCTAAAATCTTACTCTTAGTGAGATGACAAGTAATTTTGATAAGTTGGAAGTTATATTTCCTTTCCAATAAAAAGATGATAGAATATTAGGATCTTAAAGGTTAGAAGGAACCACACAAGGTATTCAACCCAGTCTTCCCCTAAGGAAGAAATCCATAATAGAATGTCCCTAATGTTTTGCCTTCCAACTTCTGCTCAAACTTTCCTAGTGAAAGGGGTGCAGTGCTTTGCGGAGTTAGCCTGTTATATTGAAAGACAACATAGTGCCCAACCTGTAGAAGGTATTTAAATGTTGTTCAAAAGTTTGCTTTCCTGGAACCACCCATTGGTTCTGGTCCTGCTCTCTTAGCGTGCCAAAATAGATATGCCCCTTGATAGTTAGGCGTGCAACCACTGGGATACAACCACCATAGCTAGTCTCCCCTCCCACACCCCTCTCCAAGGCTTTGCTTCTCCAACCTAAAAGCTCATGCTCCTTTATTTGTTGTTTTCCACATCTTTTACTATCCAGCTCCCTGAACATTGGGTGAATTTTAGCTTGTCAATATCCTCTTTAAAATGCGATTCCAAGAATATAACAAACATGATATAAAGTATTTTAGTTAATTCAATATTTTTGCACATATATTGAGCCCACTTCAAGAAAACCAGGGAGTCATTGCTTCAACTAAATATGTTTATTGCATGATTCTCTTAGCACCAGAAAGCATTCTGTTTGCTCTTTGTTTTCATATCACTAGTTATCAAATACATCCACACAAGTGGTATCATGGATTCCAATTAATATTTCTTAGTGCCACTATCAGCTTAATACTGGGCTGAATGGTGTGTTGCTCATGTCTTATATTATTATGTCATGTGAGCAGAAATATTATCAAGAGCCCCTCTCTGAAAATCTATGAAATGAAATCCATCACAGAAATTAAGAACAAACATGAAACAAATTATTTACTAAAATTGAGATTATATATAGGATGACTTTCCCACCTTGGCTATTTTAAGATGCTTTTGCCCTGTCAGAATCACACTTAACTATGTGTTCCTTTCTTTAATATATCATCATGAACATGGTTTTGTCAGAGCTTCATCACCAAGTGAAACTGAGTTTAGGCAAAAGGCTGGATAATTCAGGCAAAACACCTTTTCAGCCTATAGAGGCTTTGATCAGTATTGAAGACCAAAAACAAAAATGTGAATATGTTATAATAAATTGTGTCCCTCCCCTACTATCACTACTCCCTGTGTGTAGGAAACAAAAAGGGAAGGAGGAAGGAAGGAAGGAAGGAAGGAAGGAAGGAAGGAAGGAAGGAAGAAGGAAGAAGGACAAAGAAGAGAAGAGGAAAGAGAAGGAAAGAAGAAAGAAGAACTGTTAAGAGAACTTTGCTGTTGAATGGCTTGCCACCAATCTAAGGGCATCTGTCTGGTGAGAAAGCAGTGCTCCAGGTCATAGCTCTCCGCTTCCCACTGAATCTCACCAGGAACAGCCGCAAAGGGAGGGCCGGATGAGGCGGAGTGAGCATCCTTCTGCTCAGTGCTACTGAATCAAAGACACAGACAGCCACTCCTGGGCTCCGGTTCCTTCTGCCCTGGGAGCTGTGCCTGTGCTAACAACGCGACCGACCGCCTGCCTGCTCCTCGGACCCAAGCAGGTCCTGGCATCTTCTTGTGAAGACAGAAGAAAGGGAGAAAGCTCCGAGGTTTGGGGGTGTTAACCGTCTGATTTAATTTTGTACAATTTCCCTCAAAACATAAAAGTTCTTTAATGTCCACTTTAAAAATTCTCCCCAATCCCTTTAGTAGCTGTTCTCCCTGGTGTTGGAAGAACGTGAGGTCCCCCCTCCCCCCATAATAGTGCCTATTTTCCCTTCCAGGTTACCAGGAACGTTCTTATTCACAAACCACTTTTTTCCCTAAAACCAAGTTGTTTGTGTTATTGTAAAGCATTTCTCAAAACTCCTGCCTTAACACAGCGCTGTCGTTATCTGAACGAGAAGAGCAAAGAGAAATCTGCGCCCACTTTTGCTTTCAGAGCGCATCTACACAGTCCACATAAATGACCGGGGTGTTCCCAGGGTGACAGAGGCAAATGCCAGTCAGTGCGTTGCCACTAGGAAGCACAGGGACCCGCCGGGAGGCGAACAGGAGTCGGACTGTATGCATTGCCCTGCTTGGCTGGCAGCTGGTCCTGACTTCACGGGTGAATCCTATGGTCCTGCCAAGCCTTCATTTCCTTAACGATGACAGGGAACAATAACTGCTGTCCGTGACTCACAGGATTGTTAATTGATAGAAAGAACTTTGGAAAATAGAAACAGCTATACGATGCTTATGTTTTTAAAGCAACAGTTATGCCTCCTACGTGATGCAGAACGAATAAAGGTCTCACTCTGACACTTCTCTCTGCTTAAGATGTTTCCCTGAACAAGCCTACTGTAAAAAAGAAAAAGAAAAAAGAAAAGCCTACTCCTACATTCATGGGACCATAGAACGTAGGCCTAGAAGGATCTTTAGGATCCATCCTCTTTTAGAGACGTGAGGAACCAAAAAAGATGAAACGCAATGTAAACTCACACCGCTCTGTAGTCTACGTACAGGCATACCTCATTTTATTGCGCTTCACAGTTGTTGCGTTTTTTTTACAAACTGAAGGCGAGGCCTTGCACCAGCAAAAGGATCACCATTCGCTTCATCGCCCGCTCCCGTTGTCACAGTGGCCGGGACCCCGCCTCCCGCCTTCTCCAGGTGCGCCCGGAGTCACTGTTCATCACCAGGGCCTGGGGCCGGGGCTCCGCCGGCGCCTCGCTCGCGCCGCCTTCCTGGGCTCACTTACCTAACGCGCAACCGAGCGAAAGAAAGACGGAAGCGGCGTGGGCTGCTCTGCGGATAAAGGTACTGGGTCGGTGGCGCCACCGCGTCATCCCTTATACAGTTTCAAACTCCAAACATCCAGAAAGTTCTGTCTCTTCAGCCTTTCCGAGTCAACAGATAGGATTTGCTGGGCCTTTTCCATGCAGGTGGAACGCGAGACCATTTCCCGGTTGAAAATGAGAAGCCGGATGGGGGCGGGGGGATTTGCTAAGGGAGGGGGGCGCGCCTCCTCGGGCCGCGGGGAGGGAGCC